TACGGATCTATCTGAGCTCATCCGGAAGATCCACCTGGTATACAACCATGCCAACACGGGTATAAGCCTCAAACAAGCCCCTCGTGCTTGGTTTGAGAAATTTTCTACATTGATTACTTCGCTTGGTTTTAAACCAAGTAACCATGACTCGACTCTATTTATTCGATGTAAGAGTGCAGATTAGATTATTCTTTCCTTATATGTTGATAACATGATTATTGTCGATGATGATCATGATGGTATAAAGTCTTTAAAGCATGGTTTGACTTATTGTTTTGCTATAAAAGACTTGGGTTTGCTACATTATTTCTTAGGGATTGAAGTTGATCAGTCTCCAAAGGGTTATCTTTTATCTCAAAGGAAGTATAGTTCATATTTGTTTTAACTTGCACGAATCACGGATAATCAGACATTTGATAGGTCTATAGAGAGTAATACAATGTATTCTCCAACTGATGGTGTCCCCTTATCAGATCAAAGCCTTTATCTTACCATTGTAGGGACTTTGTCACTAGACTGGATATTGCTCATGCAGTTCATGTGGTTATCCAATTTGTTATTGCCCCTTCTACTGTTCATTAGGGAGCTTCTCTTCGTATTTTAAGATATCTTGGTGGTACTCAGTTACGCACCCTTGTGTTTCTATCTACATCCTCTCTTGAGCCGCGTGCCTATAATGATGCTAATTGGGATAATGATATTTATGATCGTAAGTCCACTAATGGGTATTGTGTTTTCTTTGGAGATTCATTGTTTCTCATTCTTCTATAGAATCTGAGTACCGAGTCATGTCTATCGCCACTTGTGAGATTATTTGGCTGAGATGGCTTCTTGCAGATAAGGGGGTTCACATCTCTAACCCTACCACTTTATATTGTGACAAGTGAAATAATGATTGCCAAGAATTCAATGTTTCATGCACATGCAAAACACATTGAGATTAATTGTCATCTCACACGGAATCATCTCTAGAAGGGCACTATCTCCCTTCCATACGTTCATTCCATCTTGCAAATTGATGGTATTATTATGTAGCCTTTGACTGCTCATCGATTTCATTTTATGTCGGACAAACTTTCAATGCTTATTGCTGTTGCATCGTGACTTTGAGGGAGAATGTTAGCATAATAAGATTTTGAGCTTTATTTTATATTGGGTTTGATATTGTCCCATTAGCTAGAAAACCTGAATTAGTTAGTCTATATATTATATATATTTTTTTCATTTCATTGCATCTTGTATTTCTCATTTGATAATTATACGTAATCCTAGCCGATATATGTCTTGTTAGTTTACATCACTAATCCATTTAAAAAAATACAACAACACAATATATAAAACAAACCCGAACATATCTTATAAATAAAAAACTAATACATAAAGTAAAGTAAAAATGACCAAAATTAAACCCTAGCCTACTAAATATCATCTCCCGTTTTACTATCATACAAATCTCACACCACTAAATTCAACCATTAAAGAAGTTAGTGATATCGGTGTGAAATTCCATATTTATTAATGATCAAAATAATCTACCCTAATAAATAAGAATATTTTTGCCACTTGTCATCTTCTTATTCAATATGACGCATGACTTTTTCTTATTTATTTTTTATTTTTTCCACTTGTCAATTTAAGATTTTTTTTTTAAATTAAAAAATAAGTTTGCCTAACCCCTTATACGTATATTATATACTAGGTGTTAGACCCGTATATTATACGAGTTGATTTAAAAAAAGATTAAACATTAAAGTGTAAATAGAAAATATTTTTAATGTACAACTTTAAAATAAGAAAGGAAAAATATATTTATTGCAATTTAATATCATATATATGATATCTAATATTTTACATATATAAGTATATTACTTTAATTTTAAAAATTGAAACACACCAAAAATTTGACAAATGGATAATATTTATTTCAAAATACCAATAAATAACAAGTATCAAAACTTATAAAAGAATGACATTTGACAAAAAAAATTCAATTATTAAGGAGGATGTAAGGTATTGATTATAATTTATTGTATTAAAATCTCATTGTAATTGTTAGACAAAACATATCTTTCATTCTTTTTAAATATATAATATATTACATCTGCTGCGATTTCACAACTAATCTTTGATAGATATTTCATAATTATATAATTTAGAAACAAAGGAATTCAAAATGATGTGATCTATCAATGTATTTCTGTATTGTTATCATTTTCAAAATTATATTCTTATGTTATTGTTAGCATCAATATTCGAATTGTTATCAAGGATTCTACAAACATTTACTTTGCATCATCATCACAATCGAATACACCAACATCTACATAATGTTAGCAAATCATTTTGATTTAACGGGAACTTCTTTTGCAAAGCATTTGTTATTTTTTATGTGCTCAATTTTTTTTTATTAATCTTATCTTTTCCCTTCATTGGCCGACTTCTCATGTAATTATTATATTTAAAACCTTTGATGATGTTGGATGCATACATGGTGTTCGATTAAATGCCTTAAAGAAATTCATTTATTTTGACATTTAAAATTTTTTGTTTCAGATTGCTGACTGTTCTATAATTCATGAAATGCTATTCAATGTTTTTCCAGATGTTGTTATGCATATTGATGATATCCATCTGTTGCTCTTTTCTTATTCCCCATCATTTTTGTTATTAAGATAGAATTAACGATACCGCTAGAAGATTTTACTTTTGTGGGATTTGATTTTTTATATCATTGATAATGTGGAAATATAATATTTGAAGTATGTTAAAGGAATAAATCAATTACCGCACTAAACAATTACAACATTTGTTTCCTTTTTAGTTAAATAATGGTCATTTTTTATTTTCCTTACACACATAACTAACTAATAGGCTCTGATGCTTATGTAGAATTCTCTAATTATACATACATAGTTCGAAGTGTTTGGAAAATATGAGTTTAAAGGTCTAATTTTACCAATGAAAGGTTATGGGAAAATATTTATGATATCTTTTCACTTCATCCTTTAGCTATGTTTAACACTCTTTTATAACGTCTTTGCTGGCAGGATATGAGAAAGTGTTTACATCACCGATGGCAAGGTTATTGGAGGGAAGTCTATAAGGGAAAAAAGGATAATGAGAACATGATTTAATCTGCTAATTTTATCCCATCTTCTTTACTACAATATCATAATAATAATAATTTTATTCTAAATGTATAATGCTTTAATTGCGCAGACTTTTCAATGTGCATATACAAAAATATAAATCCAAAAATGTTGTCATTTCCTAAAAAGATTGGCGTGATGGGAGGTGATGAAACTAGAACGCTATAATAAATTAACTCTTCTTAAGTTTGAGCTAAACGCAAGAAATAAAAACATATATTCTTGATTTTGTGATTATAGCATCCCATTTTCTAGCTACGTACTAGACACCTCAAGAATCATTCCTTAAAAATAAACTTACCCCGACAAGGAAGGTATTATAATGTTTTTGCTTTTATTCATTTGTTGCATTGTATTTAATTTTAGTTATTTGTGTGATTTTGACATTTCGAATTGGTTGGAATTGTATATGAAAGAGATGTGATGATAATATGAGGTTGGTGTTTCGAATTGGATGGAGTTCCTGAAATATATGATCGTTTGTTGGGATGGTGTTTTGTAGTCAATTTTGTTATTCGTCTATCTGCTTTAATTGGTATTTATCATGTAAGCATTTTCATGTTCAAACTTTGTAAAACATCTTAGGAAATATTAATTAGTGTTTTTTGTGGTAATTCCAAAGTCTATTAATTATGATGTGTTATCTTTGATCCTAAAAGGAACGTTAAATACATTAAAATGCAATGTGGTCTTATAAATGTTATATGTTTCTACAAGTAGGCAATAAAAAGTTGAAAAAACTATGTGTTAATTAAACTATCCTTAGTTAAATGTTTTTTATGTATATAATATATTTCTTCATTATAGTATCTTACTTTCATTTTTACAATTTTTTTCCCCAATTATATAAATAAATGTGCAGACTTGAACGGAGTGGAACTTATTAAGAGGTTGTTCTTTGGAAAAATCTACCCAATTAAAAATTATAAAGTTTTTGTTTACTTTAAAAAATCAAAAGAAATCTATCCAATTAAAAATCACAAATATCAAATATGTTTGCATTTATAAAGTTCCCATGTTTCATAAAAGTCATTTAGTGAAAATGAAATAGAAATGTTTATTTTGATATTTTATAATTTATATATTTACTTAAAATATTGTTATTTTATTTCAAACCGAAACAAACGTTTATTTCATAAATTATACACATTTTTTTTTTAGATTTTCTTAATTTAATGTTTATTTTGTTTTATTTATTTTTATTTTATTTAAGTTGTCAACGCATGTATCTATATTTAGCACAAAATTTTACTTTAAAGTTACACTATGTGTGAGACCCGTGTATTACACGAGTTGATTTAAAAAAATTAAACATTAAATTAAAATGTAAACATAAAATATTTTTTAATGTACAACTTTAAAATAAAAAAAGAAAAATGTATTTATTGCAATTTAATATCATATATATAATATTTAATACTTTACATATATAAATATATGACTTTAATTTTAAAAATTGAAACAATAAAAAATTAACAAGTAGATAATATTTATTTCAAAAATATCATAAAATGACAAATATCAAAACTTATAGGAGATTAACATATGGCAAAAAAAAAATCATTTATTAAGGATGATTTTTATATTTAATTTTGTTTTAATCGATCCTTGTATTATATAGGTCTCACCTTAGTTTATAAATAGAAAAGACAAAAATTTCGAAATGCAATGAACAATGTTTCTATACTCAGCCCCAACTGATGAGATGGTCCTATAATGATCGGGATAGAATGAGATGATGGGTGGGGTTACGATGGTCCAGTTAGAGAGTTAAGCAACTGCAATGGTCCAACCATCTCAAATGCAAATTTTGATTCCTCTGACACAACACACACCCATAGTTACTGTATGTTCAACTTCATCTATAAATTCTTGGTCGCACAACGCTAGTAATTGGTGCGACATACAGTACCTGGTAGAAAAAAAAAAAAAAAAAAAAAGATTAACATTCTTATCAAATTTTGCTCAAACCAAAATGTCATCAATTTATGCTGCAAAAGAATCATGGCATCAAAGAATCCTTTTCTCTAATGTGGTGGTGACAAGAAAAAGGAACCTTTTTTGGGGACGCAAATGGAGATCCCTCGATATTAAAATGGCCATTGGGATCTTGTTTTTCCATATTTTGGCATTTTTTGCTCCATTTACGTTCACTTGGGATGCCTTTTGGATAGCTTTTTTTGGTTACATTCTAACAGGGATATTTGGTATAACCATGTGTTACCACCGGCTTCTAGCACATCACAGTTTGAAGCTGCCAAAATGGCTGGAATACGCATGCGCTTATTTAGGGGTTCAAGCTATCCAGGTCCATTTAGATTTTGTTTTTCTATATTTTCTTAATGAATAGTATCGTTACTTGGCTTGTATTTTTATGGAAACATTTTCTTTCATTCAGAGGGATCCAATATATTGGGTGAGCATCCATAGATATCATCATCAATATGTTGAATCAGAAAAAGACCCCCATACTCCCACATATGGATTTTGGTTTAGTCACATGGGTTGGATCCTTGATAGCGGCTTCATTATGGAAAAGGTGCATGTCTTTACACCTTAATTATGAGCATATGTATAGATATATATCTTCATTTGAATTCTTTTTTACTATTAGTCTATTAGTGAGATATATAATTTTATGGTTATCAGTATCAGGAACGTAAAAATGTAGAAGATTTAAAAAGTCAGGCGTTCTATAGGTTCATCAAAAGAACTTACTTGTGGCATATATTTGGATTTGGAGCACTCGTTTATGCATGGGGTGGTTTCCCCTACCTCGTTTGGATTATGGTAAGCTTAAAACATTTTTTCAGATATAGTTATTTTTTCTAATTTTGATAAAAGCATATATCATGTCTGATATATGCATGCAGGGTGTTAGGAGCATGTGGGTGTTACACATGACTCTTCTGGTGAACTCGGCTTGCCATATATGGGGAAAACGAGTTTGGAACACCAATGATTTGTCTAAAAATAATTGGTATATATTTTGTGAGACTTTGCATTAAATAATTCATTAGAACACTAATATAGTCGAGACATGGTTACTATAGGTGGGTTGCATTGCTTACATTTGGGGAAGGATGGCATAACAATCACCATGCTTTTGAGTACTCTGCTCGACATGGGTTGGAATGGTGGCAGATAGATCTATGTTGGTATGTGATTTGTTTTCTTGAATCAATCGGATTGGCCTGGAATGTGAAATTGCCGACTCCTGCTCACAAGTTTAAGAAATCGTTGGCTTCTACAAACAAATTCAGATGATTACTCAAAAGAGTTACCACCTATGCATCGATTTTTAGTAATATAAATGTTTTTTTTTTTTTTTTTCCAGTTTAATTGTTCAATCTTTGAGTGAGATTTTCCTCCTTGTAAGATATTTAAAAGCATAATTTATGTGTGTTTTGCATAATTGTATTACTTAATCTATGACGAGGACACTAGCCCACGTATTAGCTAGGGCATGAATAATCCAGAGTTCGATGGAATGCCGAATATTGGAGAGAACTATATCATTCTTTCAATTCTTAAAAGGCCCACTATTTTCCCACTGAAAAAAGTCTATGATGTGTTGAATGAAGATCAAACTTCACCATCTCTTATATTATATACAACTTAATTCCATTGATATCGACCCTCATTTAATTCATTTAGCTTGTTAAAAAAAAAACCTAGAATTGCTTTAACAAATAAAATTAGTTAAACTTGTTTAAGTGAAAAAAAAAATCAAATAAGGGAAAATCAATCTCATCAATTACTAGAAAAATAAGAATTAGCAATAGAAAATTGCCGATGATTCCTTAATCCTTGGTATTACATTTCAACGACAGATTATCAATGAACTTGTTTTTATCTTAATAAGGGGTCACACTATTAGTTATGGGTTGGCCACTGAAATTTTTTTGAACAAATTATCGAATTCTATGGGTTTGTTGAAATTATATGATTTATTAACAGGTGGGACCCACTTGCACTCCCAATCATGATCCCACTTCTACTCGCTTTCAACTACTCCGACCACCGGTCATTGGCCACCATCAACCATCGGCCACCCAAAACCGAAAAATAAATCCATAACCTGCAACGCCACAATTAGGAACCACATTCACCCCTCACCCTTTAAACCTAACCCATCGTCTGCCATCAATGAATACTACCTACACCTCTTGTCGGAAAAAAATAAACACCTGATCGTAGAAATATCATGATAAAAAAATAAACAGAACACCAAATCAAAATAAATCCAAACAAATCACAACATGTATTCTTTTTTGGAATTTCAAAGGATCGAACCATTGTTCTTGTTTTTGGAATTTCAGAACATAAAAATCAAACCCCCACAAAGAAATTAAAACCCAAAAATGGAGGGCTTTATATGAGAGAGACGTGGGAACAATTCCTGTCAAACAAATGTGCAGGTGATGAAGGAAGAGTAGTAGTTTCAGGGGCGACGATGGTCGGATTTAGGGTACTGTGGTCGTGCTCATGGATGGAAGGCAATGGTGATGTATATATGATCTAGGTTTGTAACATCCCTATTTTCACGGTCAGAAAAGACCGATTTTGTTTATGATTTATGAAAATCAGAGTACCTATTTTAATAAAAATATTGCAGAATTTATTCCCAGAAAAAAAAACACGATACATACGTTATCAAAGCATTTCCGAAGACACGTATTTTATTCATTTTAAAACATTCGGGATGTCATCGTCAATACAGAAACATAAGCATAAACAGAACTTACATTCATTTACACTAGTGATCTATATCTCCTTAATCTCTCAGTATAATGTCACTTCATATCGACACCTGTGATATAAATAAACTGAATGGGTCAGGTTGTGAAACCTGGTGAGTACATCGGGTTTTCAACCTATAATAATATAATTATTAAGTTTAAACAATCAAACAATCAACCCAATTACCCACCCTTATTATCTTCTTTAGTCTTAAGGATCTACCCTAAGAATCAGCTATTCATCGTTCATTAACTCCTAAGGATCATCCTAAGGAATCGGCACAAAGTCCATCGTTGCCACGGTTTACACAACGGGCACTAAGTCTGCATAGTCATCAGGGCTTAGGCACTAAGTCTGCATAGTCGCTAGGGTTTAGGCATCAAGTCTGGATGATCACCAAGGTTTAGGCATCAAGTCTGCATGATCAACAAGGTTTAGGCACCAAGTCTTCATGGACGCCAGGGTTTAGAGTACACCGGGTGAACACATCGTTCACAGCACCTACAGGTTGTGAGCCTGCTAGTGTTCCACTGGACTGTCTAGAATAGTCTGTGGTTGTCATCCATACTCTACTAAATGAAGGGGCCATCATTTGGGAAAGGCTTCTCACATCGTCCACCTCTCACCCTCACCTCGTGGTCTATAACACCTCTCAACTCATCATCCAACTGATATTCCATCTATTACATCTACCCATGTTTTACCCCAACACTATCGTAGATATAAAATACATATACAGTTTAAATCATTTAAAACATGTATAAAATCATTCATTTGGCATAGACAACAAGTACTCATATAATATGCACACATAGCACGTAATTTATATAAAATACTTCATATCTATGTGTAAGATGAAAGTAATTATGCACTCACAACACGTAATATATATTAAATACTTCATATCTATGTGTAAGATGAAAGTAACTATGCACTCACAACACGTAATATATATTAAATACTTCATATCTATGTGTAAGATGAAAGGGGCTATGCACTCACCTGAGAAGGTGGTGACTCGGTACTCGGACAACACTTCGTTTACTTTAAAATAATTTTCTTCGATGAAACCTAGTATTATTACCACTAGATTTTAGTCTAATATTTACTGTTACTAATTATTAGTCTTATTATTATTATTATTATTATTATTATTATTATTATTATTATTATATAATCGTTTAAACAATAGTTCCCAACCACTATGTACAGACAGGGGCCAGATATAAAACACCCGAGGGAAGGACCATTTTGGCGTATAGCACTTCTGAAATCCAACAACCTATGCAGCCATTTAAACCAAATTCCCCGTACCGCGAGTAGTTAATAAGATATTATAACGACACTTATATAAGTCATAATAATAGCTCAAATATTTATTGTAAGTTCATAATAACAATATTAATTTTAAATATAAGCTATATTAAAATAGGGTAATCATAACTTACTTACAATGGGAATTTAGCTAAGAGTTGGGCTCTGTAGGGGCAGAACTTCGTCGCTGAATCTTTCTAATAAAGATTCGTGTAGCGCTTCAATGTTCACCTTACTATACTAAAAACTACCGAAAGAGAAGTCGAATCACGAGGGACCGAAATGCTCGGGGGATAAGGAGAGAAAGACTCTTGAATCAAGAGAATGGTGCAAGAAATATGAGAGCCCAAGGCTCTTATTTATACTGATTGAATTTTCAAAAACTACCCTCCATAATTACTTAATGGCATTTTAGTTATATAAACAACTAAACACCCCTCTATAATACTATTTTAAATGGATTTAATGATATTTGTACCAAACTAATGTCTTAAGAAATCAACATTAGTCTTATAATGACCGCATCGTCGATACCTTTCTAATGATATATACATGTGTGTGTGTGTGTATATATATATATATATATGTGTGTGTGTGTGTGTGTGTGTGTGTGTGTGTGTACGTATATATGATTTCAACTTTATTTTAATACGTAAGTATGTTCTTTATATCCACGCGTAGGTGGAGTCGTACTCTACAACTTTCGTTTAGACTCTGTCGGCTAATTTTGAATTTATTTTTAAAGTTATAATTTTAACAGGCCAGGACATGATTGATCCGTTAAAATCTCATAACTGTTTCATCCAATGTCCATTTTTGTCTGTCTTTTTATCATTACGCTACTAATAACGAGATCTTCGATTTAGGTTGTGTCGGCTAAAATCGACACGATCTAATACTCAAACTTCGGACTGTACACCGCTAAGCCGAAACTTCGAAAAATCATAACTTCCACATAAGAAGTCAGATTTGGGCGTTCTTTTTATGGACGCTCTTAGGTTAACATATTCTACGACTTTCACTTAGATTACTTAGTCTAAAATAGGCTTTATCATAAATTCACTATTTACGTCTTCGCGGTGTCGTGCCGGTTCTGTCGCTAAACTTCGATGGGTCATAACTTCTTCGTTATAACTTGGATTTCGGCGCTCTTTATATGTACGGAACCCTTAAGAAATATTCTACAACTTGGTTAATATTATTTATTCTAAATAGTATTTTGTCAAAAAGTCATTTTCGACCCCTATTATCTCTAGATTGACTAGTCCGGATCTACGAGCGTTACAATTATCTCCCCCTTAGGATGATTACGTCCCGGAATCATCAACGAAATTGGACTCACATGATGACTCCATACGTTATCTCTTCATCCTAAGTAATAATCGTAACTTTGATGTTTCTTCGAATGAGTATCTAACTCTAAGTCTTCCTGACTGTAAGCGGTGTTCGATCTTGGACCCTCTCTCTATCTCATGTTAGACTTCCAAATCATTATCTTCATGGCGCGATCTCGATCTTTATTGGAGATTCCTTCTTTAACAAACTTGAGATAAGTTTCTTCCTTCGATTATCATAATAGACCGATGGGTCATGTTATAATGACCTCTCATCGCATGATGCATCGCTTGGACTCAAGTCTTTTAGAGTCAAATTTCAGAACATACTATATCTTCCTTCATGTTCTAACCACATCCTAAAAGGTAGCATTTCTAGCTACAAGAAACCTTTCGTGATACCTCTATTGATCGCTTTTTATTTCAATCTTTCATCTTAAGTCAGACGCTATATCGAACTTGATTCTCTAAACCACATAACATACTCAACGTAATCGGACTCAATTTGATATGACCACTAGGGTCGGAATAACAATCATCTTCTTAGTCATTACCGGAACGATGGTAATGACATAATTGAATAAAACAAAATCAGTTACTAGCTTCTTGGTAACCTTGTCACTTTCCCTGATCCAAGCGTGAGTCCTAAGCTTCTAGTAGTATATGCATCTACTACCTTTCACACCTACTCAAAATCGTCCCAAGTATTGTCTCGCGGTCCCCAAGTCCTAAAATCATGAAACAATTTAACACATACGAGTGTGTCCAAATAATCATAAAAATTTCCCTAGACTCTACTAGGACTTCTTCCATGCATATTTTCAATCATCAATTCTGCTTCAACTCGGTTGGTGATGGACATTCCAGATGATAGGAAAACATTAGGAATTACATCAATCATTCTATCATCCCGCCAATCATTCTATCTTCTGATAGGCATTATTCAGTATTGTAAGC